AATTTACTGCAGATTTTTCCACTAATAGACTAATAATTTCTCGGTTTTTATACTTAATGGTACAAAACTATAATCTTCCATAAATAAAGAGTACTCTTTGCACAGAAATTTCACTTACCATAAATCAACTTCCTAAATCTTTTTACATTTCATTTGAAATGTTGCTATTGGCCCTAGGATGAGATGGGCAAATGATGCTCTTTCACATGCAGAATCTTGCTCTCCTTCTGTGTGCACAATTTTCACAATTCTGACATAGGTCACAGACAGATTACATGGGAATAGGAACATTAGAGTATTGCCACACTGATCAGTTTTGGATAACTTTGTTAGGAGCCTGCCACAGAAGATTCATTATCCTCCTACGCAAACTTTGCACTAAGGGGAAAGAGGCTCCTGCAGAAATTGGTTTAATTACGTTCCTGATCTGTGTTGTCTCCTAGTCATCCAAGGACATCTAGCCTCCTGAATTAGTCTCCTGAATTCTCCATTTTTGCACAAACCTAACCCTGTCAGTCTTGTGATATTCTGATTATAACCTTCTCCTGGGACCTCTATTTGCCATACTAAAACAACCTGTCTATGAAACCTGTCTAGTCCCAATATAATTTGGTGCTTGTTTCAGTTTTTGTTGATAAAGGGCTCAAACACTGTCTGAATGATGTTGAAGCTAAAGTAGGTTGTCTTCAGTGGCATGTGAAACAGGCTCAGACTCAGTAACGATCACAAACATTGATCATTACTAAGGACATAAGGTCATAACCTGGAAATGAGGACAACAGTACCATCATCTTTATCATCATCATCATCACCAGGAGCAGTTTTTTAAATTAGGAGGGTGAGACACCAGTCTTGTAAATACAAAAACAAAACTTTCTTGGTCTTCAGAAGGGCCTGAATACTACCAACCTCTGTATTCTGACCCCCTTCTGTGTGAATTCTCAGAGGTATTTCTCTCTTTAATGTATAATCTGTATTTCTCTCAGAAAAAGTGGAGAGCAGTATTAAACATACTTGTTTAATAAAGAAAATAAAATGGCTTTTTACCTCCCACAAAATCAAGTTGAAATTAAGCAATATGCTTACTTTACGTTTCTTGAAGCAACAAAGAAGATAACTTTTCTCATAGAATATTCTAACCTAAAATAATAGCAATTACTAATTGCAACTAAAGATTCTAAGGCTTAAATTACAACATAAAATGTGACTGATTATTGAACATTCAAAAAATGTACAAAGTCTACAAAATGCATCCACCATTTTCAGTGTACATGTTTTGCTTTTGCTTACATGCTTGCACACATACAAACACATGGATATCAAATGCATTTAAATGTACATAGTGCCTCAAAAAGACAGCTTTATTCCTCAGATGTCTAACACAGTAGAAATATGTGAGTCTTCTAGTAGAATAAAATACCCATAGATATAAGAATATAATTTTCCAATATCCTTGGAAATTTACTCAGATTTGAAGCCTTTTGCCACTACTGAATAAAGATGAATGTGCCACTCAGGTATTAACAGCTATATTCATTACCTGGCTTCTGCCATAATAGGATAATTTTTCTTGTTTCTCTCAAAAACCTGAAACTATTTGCAGGTAATAAAAGACCACAGATCAAGTTAGTGGAAAATACTCACTGTTATGTACATTTGCCAAATATTTTTTTCCAAAATATACACTGCAAGTAATTTTCTGCCTTAAGGCTTCTACATGCCAAACCTTTCCACAGTTATGCTAGATATGTTAGAAAATGAAAAGTATTCAGAATTTTGAAAAACATATTCAGAACTGCAACAGACTAATAAAAAGGCATACTTGCACAATAAATGTGTAATAATAAATTGCCCTAAAGATTAACATCTACTATGAAATTATAAACCAGCTAATTTTATCACCACTACTTTTTTTAAAAAGTAAAATTACTCTATATTGATAGCAGCTAGATTATCTATTGAGTTAATAATTTCATATGGAAAGTGTGAATAATGTACATTATTATACACTTCAGATTTTATCACTTTTCAAAATTCTCCATTCAATAAAATAGGAAGGTTTCAGTATCTGTCTGAAACTACTTTTTGTCAAAAATATCTAAAGGTTTGAGGTGTCCCATGGAGTAGTCATATGACTTCCTTAGGACCTTCTAAATCATGAGCTCCTGCGAACTCAGTCATGTTGGTTCCTTTGGTAAGTAATGCTGAGACACAGCTGACACAAAAGCAATCATAGAAATCATTCTGGGGAATCATGTAAGCTACCTGTCCACATTTCAAGTAGCAAAAGGCAGGCAAGAGGCAAGATGAAACTCATCAAAGTAATCTTTTCTATTTTAATTTCATATTTTGGCTTCTCTCTAAACAGAAGCTTTTATTTACTCATTAGCAACTTAAAACTAAAGAGGTGTATGGGAGATGTTTTTATTATTATTTTTCAAGCTATTTGTTTTTTGGGGGAAAAAGAATTAATTAAATGAAATTACTGCTATGAAAAAAAGTGTTGCTAAGTCCACCACACAGAGTTCATACCAGTGTACAACTTTATATGCACATCTATTTGTGGAAGACTTTTTTCCACATATAGTAATTTTTTTTCAGAAGGGCATATATTATTTTATGCTTATTTCCTTATATTACTTCAAAATGGCAAAAAATGAAAAAATCATCATTAAAAAAATTGTATTTCTGTTTGTTTCTAAGTTCTGGGGTTCTTTGTTTTGCTCAGAATACTAGATGTAATTGTAGAGATGTAATTGTAGCAAAAGATAGAAACCTTTCATATAGGAGAAAACCTTTAGTAGTAGGGACCTTGCTTTATCCTTAAAGACTTTACTGAAAAATCTTACTCTCTCAGGCAATACAGAAGTTTATAGTGACAAACATTAAACAACTTTTTGTATATATAAAAGCAAACAGAAAAATTCTTGCTTTCAGTTTTCAGATTGAAAATAAGAAATCTTAGCCTAATGATTTTTTATGTAGAAATATTTTACAACTGAAACATAGGTATTAATAGAAATTTAATCACAGAATTAAATTATTTTAAACTCCCAGATGAAAGTGGAAGATCTATAGCACACTGATGGAAGTAGAAATTTTGTTAAACCAGCCTTAGACGTCACTCTACAAAATCAAAAATGCTGGGGTTCTGAACATGGAATGACTTCCTTTCCTCTAAAGGGAGTATGTTTAACCAGCAAAATATGAGAAGAAGGTGCTGAAGGACCACAAGATCTTGGGTAATTATGATGAAAAGAAAACCTAATAAAAGATTCATAAACTCTTTGCCTAGCATATGCAACCCATGTCATCCAAATAGTAAAAGACCTGCTTTATCCAGGTTTTTTTTGACAAACCCTTGTAATAGTAGTGATGTATAAAGGGATACTGTAACTATTTTATTATTAAAAATTCACTATGGGAAAAGCAGGAAATGTTTCTATTCTTTTACAAAATTATAAATAAAATCCAGTAAACAAAGGTATTTACAGGAAGCTGGCTAATCTCTTAATCCACCAATTAAAGCTGATTAATTTCTGAATAACAAGATGTTTTTGCTTTTTATGCAGTATTAAATATCCTTCAGAAAATAGAAATTCAATTTTGAAAATGTTGAGAGCAGTCAGACTCTTCTAGGACAACATCATAATTCCCTAGGTTACACTCTAATACTAAACTTCACAGAGAAAGCATTCAAAGACATTAATTTTCAGTAGCAGAGAAAATAAAAGCATTTCACTTTTTAATGCCCAAGGCAAACATAAATGTATTTTAATTTTTGTATCAAAGGACGTAATTAAAATGCTATCAGCAACACTTTCCTACAAAACATATTTTTAGAACATTCCTAGTTTGAAGACAAACATTTCTATCAGGCTGAAGTGTTACAAATTTTGTCATTTGAAGAAATATGTTAATTATAAACATGAAAGTGTAATTAAGGTATGAATGGACTAAAGAACCAGAATCTCACTATCTTAGTCTGATACTTTTAATCCATCCTAGATCATTGACTTATCACATTCTAGACATACAGCTGTTCAGTAAGTCAGCAGAAACATTTTAAACAAGGATATGAAAAATCAAACAAGTACTAAACCCAACAAGATCAAAGTCTTCATTAAGAACTACAGTTTGCATGGCACCAGATGTGAATGGCTTTTTTTAAACTTTCCCAATAAAGTATACATTGTTAATACTGTTTCCATTTAAATAGATATTTGTGTTTCAAACTGATTCTTTTGTCCTGGCCTGTAAGGAACTACATTGTCAAAATATGTTTTCAGCTGCAGTCTCAAAGAAAAGTAACTCAGAAAATAAGGATTCTGCTGAGTGCTTTGGTTTCCTAAAACTAAATAAAAAACTGACCATTAAAAAGAAACAACTAGATTAAGACTATTTATTCTCCCCTAAAAAACCAAAAACCCAAACCAACCAAACAAACAAAAAAAAAACCAACCAAAAAAAACCCCAAAACCAAAATAGAATTAGGTGCTTAAAAAACCAGAATGTGTAGGGATAAAAAGAATTTATAAAAAATGAAAGTAATAATTTTGGCTTTTCCCTATGTATTTTGATAATTATTTTAAATTGTTCCTTTAGATGTGGAACTGGGTATGTGAAGAAAACATGAAAATAACCAGTACACTAGCCACATGGTGTGCTGTCTCTTATTGTGCAATAGGCAGTGGAATCAATAGTAAGGTAAGAGAAAGCCCTACAATTAATTAAAATTGGTACTAAATTTAATTGGGAATGATCTCTGCGCTCACTCTAGCTTTACCTCCAAGAAATGCAGCATAGTACCAAACAAACATATTGCATTAATGGGAAAAATAGCTAAAATAAATAAATAAATAAATAAATAAATAAATAAATAAATAAAAGAAAATGCCAAACTTTTAAGTCTTAACGTGGCCCCCAATTTTCTTTCATGAAATCTTGTCTTTTTTGAACAAAACACTTTCATCCCTGAGAAAACTAACTTTTTAACCTACCTTGACTGCATATCTTGGTGTGTTTTGGACTGGCTGATTTCAGGTGAAGTTGAAGGGACTTGCTGTTGTAGCTCCACCAAAGACTGGTAGTACTGTTGCTGATGATGTTGCTGCTGTTTGTACCGAGACAAACTGAAAAACAGCCCTAAAATGGCTTTCAAATTTCCATTCCGTATTTCTATTAAAAAAAAAAAAAAAAAAAGAAGAAAGAGAACAAGAACTGAAAACACTTTGGTTTTAGACTTCAGTTTTGCCATAGTCTTACAGTAAAAGATCTCTGTACATACTTATAGCTATACACGTTTATGTTTTATATCTCTTCATTTATCGCTAATATCAGGGACATTTTAGGTATCACTGATACTTTATTTTTTGTTATAATTTTTCTTTATTTATGTGCCATTTTTGCCCTCATGCTGAGTCATTTACATGGCCATAACCAAGACTCCATTAAACCATAAATAACATACATAATTTGAAATTAATACTCCTGCCTCAATTAAGTACAAGTACTCTAAGTAAGCAGAATTTAATTCAGAAAAATCTGAATTCTTTCTGGCCCTAGGTGCACATCCCTTCAACCCCATGCCTTTAAATTAGTCTTCTTGAGTTTTGGGCAAATTCTGTACACATTGGTACTAAACAGTAGGTTCTAGAAAAATCAAAAAGAATGATGTAACAGTCTTATAGGTAAACACATATCCATTCATACAAATGTTCAAGGACCATGAGGAAAGAAAATGAATGGAAAATTGTTTTTAAAAAAGGTGACTGTAATGCTCATGATAACATCTTTGAACTTTCAAATGACGTGACTTTATAGTTTTCTCTGTTATACTGCTATTTCAAATCTACAGCTTTCATATGAGGCTAACACAGCTACCTCAACAAAATTCTGGTGTTCCACAGTAAAATTCCTATGTCTTCCATTCCTTTCTTAGCCTTTCCTCAGCCTGAGATGGGGAACCTAACATGCAACACTGCAATCTTTCTGCATTCCCTGCAAGTCTAAATACTGAACTTTGAGTCCTAACAGCTTTCTTAGGTAAATTTTCAAGCCAAATTTATAAACAATTACTGTTATATTCATGTCTTGTAAATGATACTAATTTTCTTTCAATAGGATTAGGTGGAATGTTAGTACATACACTAACAGGCCAGCAAACATTGGAGCTCTAATGGTCACAACCCATTCTTCAAAAGCAAACACCATCCTAGGCACTGAAATATACTTTTCAAAATAGACATTTTTTTTCTAAGCATTAATGCTTTCTCATCTTTCCTGTGAAGATGCTCCAGAATCTTTGATTCCCAATGAGATCATCAGAGATACACAGAACATCTCTCAGAGCTACTAAACCTTTTAGGCAATCATGCCTTTTGCAGTCATGTTTGTTTCAGGAAAGATCATTATCAAAAAATACAGAAAACTTATATTTAAAACTATCCTGAACTCCCCCCCCCAAAAAAACCCCACATAACTATCCATTTTAAGCTGCTCTGATTCTAGAAGATTTTCAGTAGATGATACCAGTTTATTTATATCATTTTGCATCACTTAATGCTCAGAAAAAGAATTCTTTGTTAAATCCCACTCATCTTCTTTATCTTAAAATTTTGCTCTTTTTGTGTTAAATGACATATTTTACTATTTCTAAAGAAGAAAGTTATGTTTTGATCTTCTTTTTCTTTCTTACTTTTAAATGAGTTAAAGTTAGAAGATTTCTTGCAAATACAAAATCTAGAAACTGCTAACATGTATTAAACAGCTGCAAGGAAGAGGAAGGGAATGTTTTCTGTGGGGTCTGGTTACACCAGGTGCTACAGAGCATCCTGGGAGTTGTAGTTCTAAGTACTCTGTCACACATGCTCTGTTGAATGCTTGTATGGGATTGGCTTAAGAAGTTACCTGTGTGACGTGGCAGCATTTGAAACTGCTATATAAGCTGGGACTCCTTGAATAAACTCTCTCTCTCTTGTTACACATCACGTTGGTGTCGCTATGGTCCCCACGGGACTTATTATTTATTATATTAATAACTGCTACAGTTTTTCTTTGTGCAACTGGCTTAGGATTTATCAATTGAGTTCTCAAGCAAAAATTCTGCAGTCATGATTTGAAAATTACTTTTATTCTAGGTCTCTTCATTCAACTATCCAAATGAGGTTTGTGAAATCTTCAAACCTTCCTAAGGTTATGGTTTATTGTTCAAGATCCTTCCTGGCCCAGTATTAACATGACACGTTTACCAAACTATTACAAGAAACTCAATTTCTTCTCCTCAAAAGAAATTATAATATTCAGGGTCATACATACTAAAAAGGGTATATTTAATGGAATCACACTTTTGAAGTACTTTGAAATAATATCATTACAAAAATATTAGTGGGTTTACACCAGATTCATGACCAACTTCATAATAGCAAAGTTACTTTAATCTTACTTCATAAATCAGTAATAAAATTTGTTTTGAATACTAACGAGCATTTTAAATCATAGTCCTTGCATTTAACCTCATATAGTAGTATTGCTTTCAGTAGTATATGACCTTAAAGCTACACCCTTGAAGCTTACATCCTATTAAAATTATTTTCCAAAGCAAAACAAAGGTATGAATAAAGGCATGTATTACAGAATACACACAGATTTTGATTTACCAAAGCACAAAAAATAAGTGTAATGCACTATGTCATGGTATTAAACAATGAAGAGTGTTCTCATTAAATAAATTCATGCTATTCACACATTTGGTTGGTATTTTATATGCAAGTAAATACAGGCTGCACTAGAAAACTGAGTTTCTAAGCAGCTTTGAGGTGAATGACAATATGCAAAATTTCACTATTCTCTTGTATCAAGATATCTACAGTATGTACAAATGTTCCCTTGAATCACTTAAGGAGCTTTCCATAAGTTGACAGTCAAAGTGAATAGATAGTACATATCACAGCTGTGTTACACTATTACAGTCCTAGAAAGGTAGAGATGGTGAAAGATAATTCTGATTTAATTTAAAAATCAAACAGTGGTTAGCATTCCAGATTTTTTCTCTATGAGTCTTCTAGAATTCAAATGAAATTAGCAGCTCTGGAAAAAAAAAATTTGTTTCCTTTCAGCTTTTATTTGGGCTACAAGCAAAATAAAAATACAGGGTTGCATATCATTAGTATGTTACTTTCAGCAATCACAGAGGTCATAGGGATTTTGAAGGTGCATAGCACCTTGCAGAACTGCTTAATTTGTTATAGGACAAAGATTTATTTACATGTTATTAACTTACAAGAAAAATACTCACCCATGTCTTACATTAGCAAGGCAAATGTTACATAATAATTAACACAATTGATATTTGTAATAGTTTTGATTTATTATATTTATGAATTTAGTTGTAACCATATTAGGCAATCACTAGAGGTGATTAATACAGCAGAATAACAGAAGCAGCAAGATCATTCACTCTTAATAGATCACATCAAAGGAACACTATAATTTTCAGACTCATCCTGACAGCATTACTAGTAATAATAAATTTGCTGAAAGAAATAGACTTCCCTAGTTTTACTTTACTGAGCAAGATTCTCATATCCTTGTTTGTTGTTTTGAATCACATATATAAACAAGTAAAAATATATGCTTGAGAAACTCTGTGCCTGTCTAGTATTGTGGAGGTAACATGAAAAGATTATTACTATTGAAAAAGTGTAATTTTAAAACATTGTCTCAAACTTCATAAATATTGAATTTCTTGGTTCAATTTCAAGTGAAAATTAAAAGGAAACTCTCTCACCCGTTATCACTAATCTAAATTTGCATGCTATTCAAGACAGATGGAGATTGGTATTTAGGTGCAAATAATTTAGTTAAGAAATTTAGTTTTTAGAAAAAAAATACTATTATTTGTTCTGATGATTTGCTTCTCTTACCTTCTGCAGAAAGACCTTGGACATTTACGCCTCTGGCTGCCAGAAAGCTAAGGCAGACATCAACATTCTCAATCTGCAATATGAATAGAAATAACAAGCAGCATAAGACTATTTTACAAAATGTAGAAATGTAGGGAGAGGGAAAAAGAAAAAAAAAAAAAACTACCCAGGAATGAATACTTTACATTCATTGCATACTACAGCTCTTTACCAAAGTTTAGCAAGAATAATTACTGCTAATTGGGGAACTGATATAAAGCTTTCATTGTCCACTTTAGTGCTTAAAAACAATTCACAAATGCCCGATCCAGAATGGCATGCTGGCAACTCAGCAACCCACCTAGTTAACATAAAACTGGATTTTATACACTAAAAACAAGCAGTGCTGAAAGCATGCATAGAGAAATAGACATTGAATATATGCCTGGAGATGGGAGCAACTGAGTTTACTAAAAAATATAAGTAAAAAACTCCAACCAAATGTGTTAGCAAAGGTACTTTGCTGGGATGATGTAGGATTCTGTGAAAATGATGCCACATTAGGGGTTGATTCTCCAAATTTTTTCCTTCAAATCTTATACTTTCCTTCAAAACCATGCTAGGACATGGTGCTGACTTCTGTTGCTGATTTAGAAGAAACCTACAGTTACCACAGAGAGCTTTAGATATGAAAATGTAGCCTAAATGTAGATCAATAAAAGGATAAAATTTCTGCCTCTAAAATGAGTAATCACAGAATTAATTTGACTGCTTTCATATGTCTATTTCTAACACATGAGGAAAACAGAATGTTCCAAAAGATTCATGAGTCACCATTCTCAGCTGATTACCACAGTCCTTCCCAAATACTTCCTTCAAATGAAGTATTTGCTTCGAAGGTTGGTTGATGGATTTTTTCAAGGCAATTAAGATCAAAAATAAAACAAAATTTTAACAATATATTTTAAATATTTACTTTCATTAGAGAACATTAAAAATAAAGAAAGGAATATTCAACACTAAAAATACAAGCCTGCAGTAGCTCAAACCATACAGGTAATTTTATTTGAATGTTTGCATATTTTACAATGCCTCATATCAACAGTTTTCAACCATCAAAACAAAGTGGTAAATTCATTCCTTGAATGAAAGCTACTTGATCCTTGGCAGTATCTTTTCTCACCTAGGACTACTGTCATCTTTCTGTTATTGCAGCTCTGACATTATTCTCAGAAAATGGTAGTAGCTAAAATGACATAAATATTGATTTTACTACTGACCATAGAAATATATATTATGAGCTCACAGACTGTCTTGATCCACAAGTAGTATATATAGATTTATAAATACCCGCAAAATTTTTAGATATGCTTTTCAAGGACGATAAATGCCAAAAGATTAGTAAACACATCTTTTAAAAAGTCTTTTCAAATGTTGAATTCAAGGACATGCTAATATTTATAGGGAATGATAAATAATCTCTTTCCTTAATCAATTACAGGGGAAAAAAGAAGTCCAAAATCTGCAGCTAAATTAATGAAAGTTGCTAAAAAACTGGGGTTTACCATAAAGTTTTCATAAACCAGTTCGGCAGGTGTTGCCAATTTTCACAGCTGTGAATGTGGAATAACCATCCTAAAATCAATGAGATTACTCCAGCTCTGTCCCAGCACAGTAATTGCAGAAACTCAGGCATTAACTCTGTCACTAACTTAAATGTTTGTGTAGTTTTACAGCATGAAAAAAACCTACATTAACTAGGTCATTTTGTTAAGATGTGACACAGCTAAATCAGTTGCAAGTTGGCTGCAGCTAAAATAGAAGATCTGCTTCTTCCTCACCTCTTCTTCCTCCCAGGTGTGGGGCCCTGCTGCTGCTGCTGCCTTTGCTGGGCTTCAGTGCTTCTCTGAGCACACCAGGAGCTCCGTGCAGAAAACTCGCCCAACAAAAGGGCAAATGTATTTTAGTCACTCCAGTTTGCTATGCAATCAGATAAGCACAGGAGTCAGCAGAGGGGAGGGTGTTTCCCAGCGTGAGTAAAGCATGGTTTGGGAGAGCAAAGGGGAGGTGGGAAGGAAGGACAGGCAGATGGTGCCACTCCTGGTGGCAGCAGCGAGGGAGCTGGCTCAGCCCTGACCTCCAGCTACACCCCTGCATCAGTCCTGAAAATAATGCACATGATGAGAATATTTCTACTCAACCTATAAACAATGTCAACTGCATAAGAAAACAATTCGAATGGAAATTTTCCTGTCCTGAAGAATTTAAAAGAAATTATGATTTGTTGTATATTAGCTGTATAACTCAGCATGTCTTTGAACTTTCAAATCAACCATAATGCAGTATTAACTACTTCAAAGGTGGGAAATTCTGCTCTATAACTTAGTACTGGAAGCCAAAGGGAGAAAAAATAAAAGGAGAAAAAGAAAGAAAAATCAGACCAATGTGAGTAGCATCCACCTCCAAATAACTGAAAAAAAATTTCTTAGCACATATTCTAGTTTAAGCAAGACATTTTTCATAATGGGCATGTCCCCTCTGCAGTAGTTCAGGAGCTATAAAAACCCTTGGTTTATTGGAGAACATTTAAGCCATAATGTGCTGTGAAAACATCTCAATATCTATCTGCAATGCTGAATATTTAGTAAATAGCAAACCTAATACATAAACCTTCACACGCATTTAAGGTGAAAAATATCCTATGGAGATGGTGCCTGGTTACTTTACGTGTCTGTTTCTACAGCATGTGTCTTTGAAGTCATTTCTTAAACTCTCAGACAGAGCTAATCATTACCACTAACACCAGTGACTCAGTATGCTGCAGAACTACAAAGCAAATTCTGTCTTGCTTCACAATTCACCAAGAGAACTATAACAGAAGCTGCAGGTCCAAAGTCACCATTCTGGTGCTGGTGGTTTATGAAGCAATAGCAGTGGCCAACTTTCAGACAGTAGACTGGGGTTGCACTGTTAGCCTCATAATAAAGTCTTGTTTTGACTTGTGAATTGACCAAGTTTGGTGTGGCAGCTCACAACCGCACAATACACTGAAAATGTCAGAAAACAACTCTAGCACTCATTTTTCTGATAATAACTGCAGTTATTATACAACTCCCAGAAACATTGAATTTGTTAGGAGATTCAATGAGATATGCATGAATACATCCTTGGGTTATTTTCACTTTCTTTCCTCTCCAGTCTAGAAAATGTTAGCCTTAAAATTGTCTCAGTTTGAAAGTTTCAGTGTGTCTCTAAATATTGCTTTAATCACCTACTTCTTGCCTTGGCAAGCCGCAGTTATTCTTTGAACTCAAACCCAAGCAGCCCCAAACACTTTTTCTCCAAACTTACCCACAGATGAGAGTGATTTTGCAATTACAAAAGTTCTAAGAGATTTCAAACAGCTTCTATGCCTCAGTACTGTCTCAATCAAGAGTGGTATGATTTCCTGAAGTTCATGTTTATTTAAGTAGTTAGTGATGAGGTTATTATATACTGGGGTAAACTCCTCCTAGATCTGGCACTGTATTATGTACAATTCTACCTGCTTATGTATCAGTGGTTGAAGATTTTTTAATGTGACACAACAGACTAATTGTGTATCTTACATATCACCACAGTTATGTAATGAATTTTGCTTTCAAAAGGAACTATTTTATAACTGAGATTATGTTTAATATTATAGTGAATAGTATCATCAGAATTACAAAATTTTCTAGCAGAAGATATAGCTCCTTACAGTAAAGAATTCAAGATATACAGATTAACACAGAATCTTACATAACAAGACAGATAAGAGTGACTCAAATTTGTTTGTACAGGTAGATGTTGCCAAGATTAGACTGGTTTTGAACCATTCTCCAACACTGTCAATCCCCACTTTTTTTTGTTTTGTATTTTGTTCCAAGGCACTTATTTTACATAGAGCTTCAAAAGAGTGGAAGAAGGGCAGGCAGCATGTTGACAGTAGACCTGCCGCATTAAAAACCTTAAAAACTATAAATAGGATAAAGAACTAATGATATAATAAAAAATAACCTTCACTCCCAAATAGATATTTGCCATTTAGCTATTCAATTAAGCAGTTGAAAGTCAATCAAAACTGCACGAGATTGCTTTTCAGAAGTAACAAAAATATAATACTGGAACCTAATCCCTTCCTTGTCAAGAATAATTTGTCCAATTCTGAAATGTAGCTACAGCATTGTCAGTAAAGGTAAACTCAGCTAAGAGGATGATAATTTAGGAATTAAGACTTGTAAGCATCAATCAGGTAGATAACACCATTGGACGCTTTTTAAATCAAGCCTACTGAGTTATGCTTACAATATATTAGGCTTCTTTCATAAATCTGATCCTTTCAATACTATTCATACCCACAGCATCATGAAAAAAGCACCTGAAATACTTAACATCATAAATATTAGTGAGCCCCAAAATATTTTTACACTCACATTTAAGGGGGTATAGTCTAAATGGTGATGAAAAATAAGCAGAAATGTCACAACTCTGATACTACTAATACATTAGTTGGCATTGCAAATCTGCTGTCTCATATTACATGATGTAGTTGTAGGTAATCTGCTTTTGACTGAAAGCTATTTGAAATTTTACTGACAGAAATAAATCACTAAGCCAGACTGGAAGACTTGCGTGTAGATAAACAGTAGCACTTAATACCCAGCAGTTAACAGACTTACAGGAAAAGCTTATTTGTGGGATATACTCACCAGTGACTCAACATATAGAATATGTCTATTCATTACAATTATTTTCGCTATTGTCAAGATTAGCTTTCATCTCTTTTGTCTGGTAACAACACTTTCTTCACTTCCAAAATAAATTTAATTGTGGGATGCTCAGAAGACAAGCAATGATGACTAACACAGCAGAATGTTTTTCTGTATGTGTAAGACGCTCTGAAAAATATGTTGCTTTGACTAACTCTCTTTTATTAAGTTTATGACAATATAGTTTACAAGAACACATATAGGCATGTATACCACATACACAAGTTAGTCGCTATTTGCCTGCTTTGAGCTGTTTTCTTCCTGAAGAATGGGACACCTTATAAAAATGACACATTATTATTAC